GTCGGAGCCGCCGCCGTCGGGGTCGGAGCCGCCGTCGGAGTTGGAGTCGCTGCCGAGACCGGAGTCGCTCCTAGGATCGGAGCAGCCGCCACTGCCGGGCCCGGAGCCGCCGCCGGGGCCGGAGCCACCTCCGGAGTCGCCGCTGCACCCGGAGCCGCCGCTGGAGCCGGAGTCGCCGTCGGGGTCGGAGCCGCCGCCGGACTCGCCGCTGAAACGGGAGCCTCCGGCGGGCCCGATGGCGCCGGGGGCCGAGGAGGAGGAGGCGGCGGCGGGGCCCGTGCTGTGCGACGTGTGCCCGCCGGGCTCGCGGGCGGCGGCCGCGCGCTCGTGCCTCGTGTGCCTGGCGTCGTTCTGCGCGCCGCACCTGGAGCCGCACGGCCGCGCCGCCGCCTTCCGCGCGCACCGCCTCGTGGCGCCGCTGCGGCGGCTCGAGGAGCGGCTCTGCCCGCGCCACCTGCAGCCCCTCGACGGCTTCTGCCGCGCCGAGCAGCTCTGCGTGTGCGCGCGCTGCCGCGCCCACGAGCACCGCGCCCACGACGTGGTGCCCCTGGAGCGCGAGCGCGAGCACAAGGAGGTGCGTGCGGAGCGGCCCGCGCGGCTGCCCCCGGCGGGGAGCGCGGCTTGCAGGGGGGGTCGGGGGGCTTCACTTGCACCCCCGTGTGGGACCTGCTCTCTGCATGGAGCTGGGGGCAGGTGCAAGGTGCTGGGGGGCGGTTCATGAGTGGGTGCTGTCCCCATGGGGGACATAATAGTGGAAACCTGCAGGGTGGCACAGGGTGCTGCACCCAGGAGGGGGGATGTGCTGCATCCCGTCCTCGCCGTGGGAATGGGGTCCTGGGTGCCCGTGGGGTGCCCCACACAGCGTGGGTGTTGCACCCCTGCCCCACATACCACAGCCAGGGTGTGGGGGACACGGGGGGCTGTTCCGGGGGCACATGGGGTGCTGTTCCAGCAGGACCCCAGGTGGGGTGGGTGCTGCACCCTGTCCCCTGCATAGGGGGACTGTGTCGGGGAGCTGCAGRGACGTGTCCCTGGAGTCCCATTTGCCCCTATGATCCCGTTCCCAGAGCATCATCCTCAAGGAAACTTTTCCCGCGCACTGGCACCCTGCCCGCCCGCGCTCCATGAGCCCTTTGTGTTCCTGCCTTTTGGCAGCCGCTTTTTCCGTCACTCCCATTCCCAGATGAGGCTGAGTCACCTCCCAAATTCACACTYGCCAGCCGGGGCTCAAGGCCTGCACTGGCCCCCGGGACCCCCTGCGAGGGAGGTAGCTCCTTCCCAGCCCCACAGCGAGCTCGGGCATCCCCACGGCAGCAGCTGTGGGATGGGGCAGCTGCAGGGGATTTGCCCTGGGATTTGTCCCGGCCATGGTTGTGCCAGCRGGAGCTCAGTGCAGCCCCGACTCTGCTCCGCCTGTAATCTTGAGGCCTTGGGAAACCCTTTTGTTGTCGTTATTAGTCATCAAGTGCCTTAAAATAGAAAATGCGGGTGATCCCAGCCTGAAGGAGCTGCCCTGCTCTCCTCCATGGCCGTGTTGTCGCCCGCCTCCATGGCCGTGTCATTCCAGGGGGAAGGGAGGCCGGGAAGGTGTCCTCTCCCGCTCCAGGAGCAACCCCCATCCCATGGTTTGCTTGTTCTCCCTGCAACAACCCCGCAGCCTCCCAAATGTCTCGTGGCTTCCAGCAGCACGTGCAGGGAGCAGGGCTGCCCTTGGGGCTCCCCTGGGACCCATTCCCGTCCCAGGTTGGCGGCTGGCACTAACAATAGTGTCCGGAAACGCCGTGTTCAGCCCGTGCTTCCTTTGCAGCCCAAGAGCCCCCGTGCTCCTGAGCCGCTCCGCAGTAAGAGCCCTTACGAGAAACGTCCAGGCCACTCGGCCCTGCGTTTCCGCAGCGCTCTGGGTCTCTCTTTTGGTTTCCATGTGATGTGCAGGTTTTTTCCAGTCTCGGAAGACTGTCCGGAATGTGCAGTTTAACCGTGTTTGCTGCAAGTGCTGTCCAAACCGAGCCGAGTTTTCAAAGTCCTGTTTTATTTTTCTTACGGTCTTGCTACCGAGCAAGGAAGGCTGTTTGCAAATCAGACATGTTTGGAGGGAGGAACAGGAAAAAACAACTTTGACTCTCTCGCTCCCTTTGCCTGAAGCTCAATAGCAAATTTATGGGAGAAGTGGGATGTGGTCTGTGGAGATGACACCCAGGACAAGGTTGCAGAGACCAGGGAGGTATTTGCGGATTGAGTAAGGGAGGGACTGACGTGACAACTCCGTGTTTGTCCTTTGTGTCCAAAGGGCCAGCGGGCCAAGTTCCTGAGCAATGTGGAGAACGAGCTGGAGGAGCTGGCGGTCACCATCGCGCAGACCAGGAAGATGGTGGAGCTCATCAAGGTGAGGGGGCCGGGCAGGAGCTCACTGCCCCCGTGCTCCTCCGTTTGTGGAGCGGGGTGACATTCCTGGTTGGCGGAAGAGGTTTTCCCGGTTGGCGCTGCATGACGGTCTTGTTCTGTCAGTGTCTCTCTGCACCCGAGGTCAGAGGGTGGAGGTAACAAGGCCACGAGCTATTGAGTGTGCAGGGTGTAGAATGGGTGGTTATTGGGGAGCAAGTGCTTGGTGACACCTCAGCAACCATGTCCTCGTGTCCCTTGTTCCTGTATTGATGTGCTCAGTCTGGCCTCTCGTGTCACCTCTGGTTGCCTTTGTAACCTGTAAAGAGGAATATCAGGAGGACACCAGCTCTTAGACCCCTTCTCCCCAAGTTCAGAGTGGGCTTGTTGGTCCCCTTTGGCTTTAGCTCGCACGGGTGTCACTGCCTAGGGAAACCTGGAGTGATGAATCAGTGCCCAGCCAGCCTGGCTCCACCGCATCACTTGGGCATCTGCCACTGGGAAGGAGCTATGGAGGAACTCGGAGGTGCTGGTCCATGATAACTGGCTTGAAAGCTCCTTGGACTTGGGTGGAGGGAGCTATAGGGTGTTGGGAGCACCTTGCTGAATACCTGGGGTGCYGGTGGGAAGGAGAGCTCTGCTTCCACCCCTGCACCCGCCCCCACGGGTGGTAGCACGGAGCCCTCTTCCCAACACAGGGTGCCGCCACCAAGGAGCGGGAAAGAGTGGAGAAGCTCCTCACGGAGAGCTCCGAGGTGCTGGCGGCCTTCCGGAAGGAGGTGGTGGGGTTCATCGAGGACGGCGAGCGCTCCCGCCTGGCGGAGGCTGAGGCCGATCTCCGCTGGAAGGAGGAGAGACGAGCCAAGCTGGCCCAGTGCAAGCAGAACCTGGAGAGCGTCCCCAGCACGGACACCATCTACTTCCTCCAGGTGCGTGGGGACAGCACATGGCAGTGTCTATATCTATATGTATGCACACGGTTTATTTATGTTTAATTTATTTACATACCCACCTCATTTCAGGTGCAGTGGGCTGTGAGGAGCAGCGGGATGTGAGGGCTGCGGAGTGTCAGTCCTTCTTGCACTTTCCTCCCCCTTCCCTTCCCTTCTCCCGGGGGGCTCTGGCTGCCAAACTCTGTTATCCCACCCTGCCRTCTCGCAGCAGCTCGGGAGAAGCTAGGGAACTTTTGGGAATGAGACGCTGTTCCCTGCACTGGCCATGCTCTGGGCTCAGCTTTGAAGAGAAGGTGCCAGGAAYGCGTGGCCGGGAGAGACATCTCCTCCCTCTCGCAAGGCTGTTTCGGGCCAAGCGCCGCGAGCCGCCAGGTCCCGAATCCTCCAGCGCAGGGCGGGGTGGCGGAACAAGAAGCGGTTTCGGCTTGTTTGAAACCTCCTCCAAYGCTGTCTCTTTGGCGCAGGAGTTTCAGGCCCTCAAAATAGCCATGGAGGAAAATCTCTCGCCCGGCCCGAGCTTCCAGAACGAGCTGAGCTTCACCAAGTCCACGCAGGCCGTGAGCGCCGTGAAGGAGGTGCTGGCGGCCGCCTGCCGGAGCCAGTGGGACCGCTTGCTGGGAAAGGGGGGCGACGTGCTCAGCTTCCCGGAGCCCGAGGAAGGTTTGTGGCCACCCGGCCGGGGGTGCCCGCGGGAGCCCGGGTCCCCAGCGCGTGGGAGCGGCGGGAGGTGTTTGAGGCCGGGAAGCCGCTCCGTGCGGCCGTGCCATGGGTTTCCCAATCGCAGCCGGSGCTCGCGCCTCCTCCTTGAGGTTTTATACATTTTTTCCACGGAGACCAGGGAATGGAGAGGCAATAAACAGCCTGGGAGTTAGGCAGGGCCCTGCGGCAGGGGGCAAGGGGCCAAGGTGGCCTCTTGTGAAAGGGACTTTTTCTTCCCGGGACAGGCGATCCTCTTCATTCGGAGGCCTGCRGCATCCCAGTCCGGCACTGGAAAGCCGCAGCACCTGGAGCCTCCCTATCCCCCCTGCTCTCACTTAGGCTCAGCTCCCTGCAGTCTCTCGTTTTCTTGGATGTCTGCGGCTGGCAAAGGCGGCCTCCATCCTTTGCTGCCCCACAGGGATGCGCAGGCTGGAGCCGGGGGGACACGTCGGGGCGTGAGGTTGGGACAGGGTAGCGGGAGAGGGAAAAGCAGCCACTGAACTTCCTTGGTGCTGCTCAGAATTGGCCCTGTCCTGTCCGCGCCCRGCTCCGTCATGCCCCAAACTTGCTGCATCCTGGAGGCGTTTGAATTTTTTATTATTTTCCATTATGTTCACAAAGCATCCCGGGCCAAAATGCGGGAGAAAGAAGGTTTATCTTCACCACTGTGCAGAGAAACAGGAGGGCAGGTGCCCTGGGGCTTTGGCACTGCTTCCTCCACTGGGATCAACCCGTTCGTCCTTGTCTTTACAGAGGCATCCGAGTCCCATTTTCCAGGCAAGTCGAGCAATCCCGTCTGCCCGGAGAGCCGCGATTACTTCCTCAAATGTAAGCAACAGGCTTTTGCTTTGACACCGGTCGCTAAGGCCGGTCTCCCCTTTCCCCTCCGCAGCCRGCCGGCTCCGTCCCGCGTGCCCAGGGGCTCCGATGGCTGGCGGGAGCTCTGCGTGTCCAGGGGGATGTTGCTCAGCTGGAGAGGAAGTCTCCCTGCTTCCCTGACAACAGACGTCATCTGTTTAGGAGATTTGTTGTCCCCCTTAGTCTGTGGTTCTGCCGGACCTGCTGCCGGGGGTTGCAGGGATGTTGTGTAGCTTGTGGCCAATTTGAGCCTCTGTTTAATTAGATTGGGGTTTGTGCATCTGCCTTGTTTTGATTGTGATCTTGCTTTGATTGTGTGAAGCTGCTGGGTTATTTGGGGGTGGAGAAGAGGGTGCTGTGCCAGGAGGGCAGCAGTGCAGGGGGAGGAAAGGAGCCCAAGGGAGATCTGCGTGAATGGAGGAAGCTGCTGACAAACSGGCCGGGCCTGAGGACGTTCCCAGCTGGCAGCGCTGTCTGGGTGTTGATTGAGCAGGTCATGGTGGGGCGAGGAAGGTGCTGGTCCGAAGCAGTGTAGAACCTCACTGTGGGCAGGCGAGGAGCGGAGACAACCTATCCCCATGGGCCACACGCTGATTTTCCATCCTTGGGCTTGATTCCTTTCCCCCCATCTCGGGACAAGCCTTTGTGGCCAAGCTCACGCTCCCCAGCAGTTGTTTCAGATGTTTTTTTCTTGCTTTTCCCCTTCATCCTCCTATTCCACCCCACACAGTTGCCTTCATCATTGACCTGGACAGCGACACGGCCGACAAGTTCATCCAGCTGTTYGGCACCAAAGGGGCCAAGCGGGTGCTCTGCCCCATTCCCTACCCGGAGAGCGTGACCCGCTTCGTCAACTGCGAGCAGGTGCTGGGCGAGAACGTCATGAACCGCGGCAACTACTACTGGGAGGTGGAGCTCATCGACGGCTGGGTCAGCATCGGCGTCATCGCCGAGGTTTTCAACCCCCAGGAGTCCTACGAGCGCGGCCGCCTGGGCCGGAACGAGAAGTCCTGCTGCCTGCAGTGGAACGGTCAGAACTACGCGGTCTGGTTTGGTGGCGTTGAGTCCGTCATCCAGCAGCCCTTCTTCCAAACCATCGGGGTCTTCCTGGAGTATTCGGAGAAGGCCCTGACGTTCTACGGAGTCAAGGACTCCAAGATGACCTGCCTGCAGCAGCTCAAGGTCTCCCGTTTTAAGAAGGGCCAGTTTGACGCTTTGCAGAACAAGATCAACCACCTATTCCCCTCTCTGTTCTCCTTCAACCTGAAACCTGCCTTCTTCCTGGAGAGCGTCGATGCCCACCTGCAGCTCGGGCCGCTGAAGAAAGATTGCGTTTCGGTGCTAAAGCGCAGGTAACTCCCCAGGTCGCCGGAGCAAGGCAAGACCCAGAAGAGCCTCCCATGCAGTAACTCACCCCGGCCAGGGCTTCCTTTCGGTAGCGTCGTGTTCCTCTGTGACAGACCCCGCTCCTCGCTCTCTGCYGCTAGCGACCCGGGCAGGGTGAAGCCGAGCAGCGGGCAGAGCCGTGTGCTTGGACCCAGGAGCCTCTGGATTCGAGTCCTGGCTCTGCCGCTGAGCGAGCTTGGGCGCATCCTGCTATTGCTCTGTGCCTTAGTTTCCCTGCCCGCGCACCAGGGATGGCGCTCCGGGCTTTCCTGGCGATTCCCGTCGCTCGTGACAAGCCCCATCTTCCCGTATATCTCTTTTTTTTTGGGGGGGAAAAGCCAGGGCCCTGCACTTACAGCACCCAAACCTCAGTCTGACCCAGGCAGCAGTTCACATTTTCTAGGAGCTTTTCCAGGGCCGCCCTGGAGGTGCTAACGGCAGCAGTGCCGAGATGCAGCTCGCTGTGCACAGGCAGCTCCCTGTCTCCGGGTCTTTCCCAAGTTTATTTTTGCTGGGGTGAGTTGCTTACCTACCTCCCGAGACAGGCTTTGCAGGAGCTTAATRCTGGGTAGCGTGTAACTAGAGAGGAAAATATAGCAGGTCCCATTCGTCTCTGGTATGAGTGAGTCAGTGCTGACGCATCGGCGTTCAACAGGGGTGGAAAATGGCCCATTTATCTATATATAAGAAAAAAATATATATATCTCCCAGAGGATAGGCTGGAATACATAGTAGTGTATTCAAGGGGAGCCAGGCGGGCTAGGTAGACGAGCAGCCAAGAGGTCTTAAAGTTAAAACCACATTTACACAAACACTGGGGCTTACAGAGCTCCTTTACTGTAACCAGTGGCGGGAGAGCTGCTGCTCCCGGCCGCCCATCCCGCGCCCTGCCGAAGCCGCCGGCCGGATGCCCAGGGATGGCACCGCTTTGGGGTCCGGCTGGGAGCCAGGAGGCACCAAAGCCCCATCCCTAAGCCCAGCAGGCAGAGCTGGCCCACATGGGGTGACCTACGTGCCAGGGAGGCAGCTCTTGGTCACGCCGAGGGCTGGAAGATGGGCTGTCCTCACCCTCGGTCACCTCGGGGGCCGTGTCTTAGCCCCAATGAACCCTAAAACATTGCAGGCGGTGGGAAAAGGGGAAGTTAAGTCTTTCAGCGCTAAATATTTGGATGAAATCTCGACCTTTCCTGGCCAACGGGAATGTTGCCCRGACTTGTGTCCGGACAGGATTTTGCTCCCCACGTCCTGAGCTGCTGCCTCCAAACCACTTTCTGTCCCTCGCGCCAGCCTTTCCTGCCGGCGTTTGCCTTCGCGAGAGCTGCCAGCGGTGACAGAGCGCAGGGCCCGCTATCAAAACCAGCGTAACCTGATTAAAAAGCAGCGGACGTGCAGCAGCCCGTGCGCGGAGCTGCCCGGGGAGGAAGGGGAAGGGAGCCCCAAACGCGCCTGTTTTTCAGGCAAAACTCCACTGTTTGGAGCGGGGAGTTTTGCCAGAGTAAACAGAGGCGCCGGGGCGGCTGCCGCGCGCGCTCGGCCGTGGGCGCCTCGATGGCTCCTGGAGGGATCCCGCGTTTGCGGAGCCCTCCCGGCGCTCCCCAGGTGCCGGTCCCTGCGCCCCTGCAGGGCTCCGCGTGTTGGGAGGGATCCTGCMCCTATCCCTTTCCTCTCGGTCCCCGCTGCCGAGCGGGAGCAGCGCGGGGCGAATGGCCAGGCGTCCAGGCTTTGCTTCCTGTGCTCTGGGGCCAGTTGTTTAATTGATCCCCGTCCCATGAGCTGGGATAGGGATATACGGCTTTGCCGAGGATTTCAAGGGCTTCCGAAGATGCGATGCAGCTGGAAACGGTTAGCAAACCCTCTCCTTCCTGCTGCTGCTTTTTATCCCGGCTGGAAGTGCTACAAATCCCTGTGATCCAGGGCAGAACGCAAATTCTAACCCATTTCAGACAGGAACAGGCCGCCAGGCCGGCGTTTGCTGGGCCACACGGGTCCCCYTTTCCCAATAATTTGTGATGTAAACGAGAACAATTAGGAAATGTGCATTGCACCAACCCGAGACCTCTGATTTTTGCTGCAAGCGCAAGGATAAAAGTTGGTGTGTGTGGTGGGCTCAGGTAGAGAGCATTGGGCGGTCCGAACAAGCTTTCTGTGTCCTCCTGAATTATTCCTGCTGTCACGGAGATTTTAATTAGGATTTTTTAAATATACAGTTGCTGTAGAGTCTTTTACAGTGTGTGAAGAAACTGTATCAGAATAATATAATGATATTAGAGACTATGATTTGCCATTAAATGTTATACAGACATAGCTCTGGGTTGTCTTTCCTTTGAATACCAAACCAAAAGAGTTGTCCGACTCTCTCTCACCTATTTTTCCATGTCTTGTTCATCTGGCCTAAAATCACAGAGATTTTATTTTCCAAGTGTGTCCACGGGAATTGAGCCAAAGCCGTGTTTTTGTTGCTCAATTACGAAGGGAATGGAAGAATCTTAGGCTCCAAGAGCAATATTGCCATTCAATTCAAAATAAGAACTTATCTCACTTCCCTCCATGGCTCTCTTCTACCTCTGACCTCACCTTAACAATAATAAGGTTTTTTAAAAATAAAAAAAAAATAGAGACACCGTTTTCCTTCTTGTTTGAAAGATTTTAGATTGTGAATTTCCGGGCTTTTCAATAGAATGAGGCAGTTTTGAGCTCTCCACACACGAGCATTCGCACCAGCAGCTTTCTTTAAGCAAAGGCTGAGTTCCAGAATACCAAATGTCAGCTGGAGCTGCAAGAAAAACACRTTATTGGGCAAGCTGCACCTCGTGAGAGGTGGCAGTGCTTCAGCCGGGACCTGCAGTGGAAGCTGAGTGGCTGTTTGCTACTGCCTTTAATGGGAGAGGAATCAGGGCTGTTTATTATAACTGTTTCTTAAAAGGGAAACTTACAGCTTATTAAAAACGGATATGAAAGGCACAAACTTGTTCTTTTCTTGCCAAGTGCTATACGGATGATGTCACTGCGTTTACTGAAATGTGGTTTCCATTATGTCGCTTTTGTGCTTTCTCCCCACCGCAGCTGATTCTTGGGCATGCAGACAGGGCTGCAGACTGGGCTGCAGGCCCCACAGGGAAAAGCTCAAAGCCATCAGAAAATAATTCAGGAAAATAAATTTTCTCAATATGCTCACATGTTAAATAGGTTTTTGATACGAAGACATACTCTGGTTAGCTTTGTGGGGCTTTTATTTTAAATTAAATTACGCAACCATGATTTTTTTTTAGTTATTCCCATCAGCTTGCTTGCCCACTTGGAGGCAGTAAATCCACTCACAGTGTGCAAATGCCACTGAGATTTCCCTGCTCCCAAATTTCTTCCAGACGTGCCTTATAGCCCCTTCAGTTTAACTCTCTTGAAGGTAAAGGCTTAATTTTACAAACCAAAAGCAGGGTGATTCCTACACGGAGAGCATTTAAAATTGGGCTCCAGAGTTCCCCGAAACAGAAAATGTGCATCTAGCATCTGAATCTGAAAAACTGGAAACTCTCAGCTCCGTTGCTGTGTCATTTTATGTACCGCTAGGTATGTGAGATGCTTTTTCATTCCGCAGTACTAAAAAGCTGGATTGTGCCCTGACCACTCRCAGAGAGTCCAGTTCTGTCTCTCTTTCACTTAATTCTGGGCTTTTCCCTGGGAGATCAGGCCAAACGGCATTAAAATCCCTTCTGGTTGCGTGTGATGTGCGAACAGTTCCCCCTTACACGCTGAACTGGACGGCATCCCAGGAAAAGGGAGGGTTTCGTGGGCTGGCCAGGAAATGCCTTTGGAGGGAAAAAAAAAGAGAGARAAAAAAAAAAAAAAAAAAAAGCAGTGCAAACCACAGCAAAAAAATGCATCATTTTAGAACGAGATGGCAACTGGAGCAGTGCTGGAGTGTTTTTGCTTTGCTTTTTTTCTGCTTTGCAGGTTCCCGGCCGTGAAGCGCAAATTCCCCAAGGCGCCGCAGGGCCACCTGGAAACAGGAATGCCGCGGGACGTGTGCCAGGGCGAGCGGGCTCCGAGCGGCACGGACSCTGTCGTGACACACGGCCAGAGCGACACGTAGTCGCGTGCTGCACGTTTCCCAACGCATCCAAGAATTCTCCCCGCAGGGAGGAGAGCGGATCTGCGGATTATCCCTGCTGCTCCCCATGGAAAACACAGCGGKTTAAGGCAGTTTAATGCTATATGAGCAGTGACTTTTAGCCCAGTAAAAGTAATGCTGATTGTAAAAGCGATTATGGAAGTGTTGATTTGGGGGGCTCGGCTGGCATCCCTTTAACAGGCTGTGTGCTCGTGGGCTCCTTGAGCTGCCATGGAGCAGCGTGGGGAGGGACTTGGCCTCTGTCGCTGTGTCCACAGTGACTGTGCTTGTGCTCGGGCTCCATCTCTGCCCTCCGAGCACCCTCAGGGCCCCACAAGCTGCCTCCACGCTCCCAGGCCGGAGAGTCGCCACCTCCTGCTCCCACGGGCACCCCTGGTTTTTGGCTACATCCTGCTGCTTTCCAGGCCCCGCAGGGTGGCCCAAGCTTTGGGGCACACGACGGGGCGGCGAGCGCGGCCTCCTGTAAACCGGGGGCGAAGCGCCGAGCGCCGCGGGGCGGCTGAGGGGGCAACATGGCGCCGCGCGCGGGGACTACAACTCCCAGCATGCACCGCGAGGGGGGGAGCCACGCCGCCGTGACGTCACCACGCCGCGGCGTGCGCAGGCGCAGAGCGGGCCYGGTGCTGCGCAGCGGCGGCCATGGCGCTCAACAGGAACCACTCGGAGGGCGGCGGCGTCATCGTTAACAACAGCGAGAGGTGAGGGCGGCCCCGCCGCCACCGCCGCGGCACGGCGGGGCGGGCGGCCTCGGCCTGCGCCCGCTCTGCGCCCCGGGGCCTTGCGCGGCCTGCGGTCCCTCAGCGCGGGGCCTGCGCGGCTGCACCGAGCCCGGCTGCACCGAGCCCGGCTGCCGGGGCAGGGCTGAGGGCCGGCCGGGCGGTGCAGCTCGACAAGGCCCCGGGGGCCCCAAGTTTTGGTGAGGGAAGGGCTCAGGGTGGACTTGGGTGCCCAGCAGCCGCGTTATGTAAGGCAGCCGAAGCAGTTCCTGCCTCTGCACTCCTTGTGGTGGGTTTAATAAGGGAGATGAGCCAGCAGRAATGCAGCGTAACTACAAACAAACAAACAAAAAACCCCAGCTCTTGACAAGTTTAACTGGATTCACTGCCTGGCCATGCCAATGGTTGTAGCGGCACCAGCGCCCTGAGGAGGAGGCCCGAGGCTGGGGACAGGCAGCTCATCCTGCTCGAGTTGTTCCTGCCGACAACAAAGCACSCATGGAAGTGATTGAGCTCCAAGCCCGTCGGGGTTGGTCTGCAAAGCGTGCGCGTTGCTGAGCCGCGGTGCTGAGCCGTGACGCTGGGTCTCCTCTCTGCTTGTCCCGTTTGCAGCATTTTGATGACCTATGATCACRTAGAAATTTCCTTCAGCGATATTGAGCCTATGCCAGATGCCTTCAAAGGGACCAAGAAGGGGAGTGTTTTCCTGACTCCCTACCGAGTAAGTAGTAAAAGGCGTCATCTTGCATAAGGAGACAGTATCTCCCTGCAGTTTTATATTTAAAGGTCCTCAGTGCATGAAAGTTGGGATAATCTATTGCCTCTTGAAGTCTGGCTCATCCCTTCCTTCTGGAGAGAGTTATGAATTAAYTGCATGTCTAATCTATTTGTCAAACGATGGAAAAATCAGATTACTGCTGGTACAGGCAGATGTTCAGACTGTCAGGCATCTCCCAAATTGGAAATTAGCAGTGGCCTGCAAATGCTGAATGTAATTTAAGCTACTAAATCACAGCTCCGTGTTTTGCGAGCTCTCTAGAAGATGGGAGGAGTATAACTTAGCAAGTATAATGTTTTTAGAAGGCATTGTCTTGCTTTGAACCTTTAGTTTGGCCTTGTTGCTGTTTGAAGGAGTTTGGGGCTTGGGAATTAGCTTCACTACATTGAAACCTTTGTTCAAATGAAGTCTGTTGTGTTTGGTGCRTGTTTTAAGCATCCTTCATGGTGGTCTTTTCTTTTTAGGTTATCTTTGTCTCAAAGGGAAAGGACGCTATGCAGTCTTTCATGATGCCCTTTTATTTGTTGAAAGATTGTGAGATTAAGCAACCTGTCTTCGGAGCAAATTATATCAAGGGTACAGTGAAAGCAGAGGCAGGAGGTAGGTACTGTGGGGATATACACTTGAGCTATAAAATTGAGAGCGTCTGATTCGTAGTGAAGTGAATATCCAGTTTGACCCATATTGGATACTGATCAGATGGTTCTTTATGTTCTTGCTAAAATGTGTTTCTTTCTTCAAAACCACAGTAGCTAAAAATGTTGCCCTTGTCTGCTCCCTGGACAGTTACAATGAAGAGATCTGTTCAGTCACTGATCTCATTCCTGCCCTCTGTACAAAATACTAAGTTCATTCAGCCAAGTGATCTCACTGCTCACTGACTGAATATCAGGACAGAGACCAGACCGTGTCAGCAAGACTGAGGATGTCATTTAGTTTTGCTCGTTTTGGGTTATCTATTAATTCTGCATCCAGATCTTTCCATGCCAAACACTTCTGATTCTTTCTGACTTCTATGTTGATTTTTCAGATGCGGATTTTCAGAGCATTGTTCTCAGTATTTAGTTTCTTGTACAGTTCAAGGAAAGGCATATATATTGTCATAGAGTAACTTAGCAGTAAAAATAACATTTTTGGACGATAAAGAACAGGCAATTTTGAAATTAGGGAGTCATCAAGGTTTCATACTGTGTTCAACAAGAAGGGAGGGATAGATTTTTCTAAGAAGAAAGGTATGTTATCACTGTGCTTTATGTTTCCCGTCTTGATTTTTTTTTTCTGTTGTGTGGCACTGAAATCACAGTACCCTGATTAGGAAGCTACAGTCTATAATCCTAAAATCAGCAGTATAGCTTCCGTGCAGGATCAAAATGGGACAATCCAGTACAAGAGGCAACCCAAGCAGTGAGGACAAACCGAAAACAGTGTGAAAGGCCAAAAGCTTCAACTGAATCTCCGAGTTTTCCTCAGAAGCTCTCTCCTTTAATGAGGATGTTGCTTCARCAGTTTTGAGTCTGTTCACTGGTTAAGCTCAAAAGGCTTTTTAATCTACATGTCCCTATTTCAGCCCTGACGGAGCTACTGCTTTGATGCATTGTTGAGGCCTCTAGACTGCACATTTTTCTTTTTTAGTCTGAAATAGGAGATGCTGCTAATTTTTTGTTATCCTAACTTGAAATGTCTTCCGTGGACTCTAATGGATTTATGTGGTCCTTGTTTTTCATTAAACTCTTTGCTCCGTTGGGGACTGAAAACTCCCAAACTAATTTATAGCTGACAGTTAGGTGTAGCTGCAAAGGCTTTTCAGCAAACAGGATTAACAAAATCCCTGTCTTGTGCACTGATCTTATACAAAGCTRCAGCAAATCCAGTGCTCTTGATAACTCGGTCTGTCAGCATCTGAGCTGATAACAGGCACAACTTCAGAAAGCTTTTGAATGTCTCCCTCATTGATGTTTCTTGTTGAGGTGTGTCTTGACCTGAAAATATTCTCAAATACGGATTTTTCTGATAATACTGTAAATCTGCTTTATCTGCATTTTTTTCCCTGGATATTTGGGATAAGCCTTTTTAATGCATTATATATAGGAGGGATCTGCAGGTAAAGCAGTAGCCTAAGCAGAAGCCTAAATATTATTAAGAAGGATCTTTAGCATCCTCACTTCTGAATTCTCCCTCTCCTTGCAGGTGGTTGGGAAGGATCTGCCACTTTCAAAATGACCTTTTCAGCTGGAGGTGCTATTGAGTTTGGGCAACGAATGCTGCAAGTGGCATCTCAAGGTATGGGAGTGGTGCCTGACAGAGGGCTTYGTGGTTTCAGGAGTCCTTGCCTTATCTTACAGCAAGGAATAGTTTTAAGTTGCAACAAGTTGGATGTTTGAAATCCATTTCAATTTTCAGGCTGCTTGCTTAAAAAATACCTTTTTTTCCTGAGCAGCAGATTCAGATAGAGTTTATTTTTTCAAATAAAGACTCTTTGAGTTTGGGATTTTAGCCACAGAAGGCTCACTTGGGCCAGGTTTGATGCAGGGGTGATCTTTGCRTGTGATGAACTTACCTTTACTTTTCCAGCCTCCAGAGGTGAGGTGCCCAATGGAGCATATGGCTATTCCTACATGCCGAATGGATCCTATGCTTTCCCACCACCTGCAGCTAAYGGGGGCTACCCTTATCCACCACCTCCTCCTGGTAGGTTCAGGAACTGAAACTAGGAATTATTGCACTTGTCAAAAGTAAAGAATAGGTAAAGGGGAAGAAATCAATTTTTGTATTTTTTATGCTGCATTTTGTACATCGTTTTGTTCCTGAGCTTAAGCGTATTTGCCTTTGGCTTATTGAGGCTGCATGTTATAATGCATCCAAAGCTGCTAATCCTTCTGCCGTGCTGTTTCGTTTCCTGACAGAGTTCTATCCTGGCCCCCCCATGATGGACAGAGACATGGGTTACATGCAGCTGCCACCACCGCCGTACCCGGGGCCCATGGAGCCGCCCGTCGTCAGTCCTCCAGACCTGCCTTCCACTCCTGCAGGTGAGAAATGTGTTAGACTGGCTGAGCTCACGATCACTGCAGAGTGTCGGGAGCATCGGCGCTGCAAAGAAGCCAGCAGACACTTCTTGACAGCAGCTGTGCCAAAATGCAGAACAGATCCTTGTTTATGGTACTGGTGATGGTGAGCTGTCRGTGTTATGCTCCAAAAAGTTGTAGTTGTGTTAGTGCAGCCTCTTAGGGAACTTAGAGCCAAGGTAGAAGCTCTGTTTAGAAGCTAAAATCATTTAGGAGAGATGGATTAGAGAGCTCCTCTAATCCCTAAACTTGTGTATTCTGCTGAAACTGGAGGCCAACCTGATTCTTTCCAGTTTGAGTATCAGCAGAGGATGTTTTGCAGCTGCATTCATCCTTGTTATGTGATGGAAAAAATGTAGTTTGTGATTCTCCTCTTGTGATAAACTCATTCTGAGTTTTTTTTTTTTTTTTTTTTTAGTGGAATAGGAATAGGTTTCTAGTCTGTTTTAGTTAGCAGATGATGTGGCTTTGGTGATATTGGACCTCCCAGTCCCCTTTTTTTTAACTTTTCTTTTAAACAATATGGAACTGAGAAACAGTGAAAAAGAACTGGAGAAAATTTTGTCTCATCATTCATTTGGGATTTATCCAAATCATTTGGAACATGATCTTAAAAGGCTCTTCATGGGAGAAAAGGCAAGAAGTTGACTTCTGTGGTTGGCTAGAACTATGGGCCTCTGTATATGTCTGGATAAGGACTTAGTTTGTCTGTTCAGTTTGAATTAACAACCAGTGAGTTTTGAACTATTATTTGGAAAATGGCCTGAATAGAGGATCTGGATGAGCATCATAAATTACCTTTTTTTTTAAAGTCTGAATCCCGTGAGCTGCTATCAGCTGGTTTATTTAAAAAACAAACAAAAACTCTCAGAAAAGATATTTTGTTGACTGCTTTTTTAAAGTGTATTTTCTGAGTCAAAGCAGCTGTAAATGTTTATTCCTTGGCTAACAAGAATCCCAGGTGACATTTCCAAACTAAATCTTGGTCTGTTCACTTGTGACTAGACAAGGCTTTGGCAACTGAATCTCTGCTCTTTGCTACTTGGAAGAGGTTAKGCTGGATTGCCATGTTTACGTCATAGCTTTTTTTCCAGCTTGAGTGTTGGTCAAATTGCCCTCTAGCTGTCACACTTGTTAGACTGAAAAACGAGGAGTTTTTGGTTATAAAAATTCTTTCCATTGCTGAGTCTTCAACTTTTGTGCTTCTGTGACAGCTGAAGCGAAGGCTGCCGAAGCTGCTGCCAGTGCTTACTACAGCCCAGTCAACCCACACAACGTCTATATGCCCACAGTAAGTTCTTGTATCTTTCTTTTTGCAATGTGAGTCCAAAAGTATGTTGCCTGGAAAGGAGGCCCATGTTTGCAGCAAGATAAATGATCTCTATAAATGTGGCTTCCTCAAGATTTCCTATTCATAAGCAAATAAGAATTGTGCAAGTAGCAATGGTTTTGGAGGTGTGTTCTTTTTTTTCTCAATGGCGAAGCAAGTAGTTCTTTTGGTTTTTTTTTTGTATGGATTTATTTAATCATAGCCATGAATTGCTGTTCTCCTTTTTCTTTTTTTGCCTTTATTGCAGGACCAGCCACCCCCTCCTCCATACTTCCCACCAGAGGACAAGAAGAACCAGTAAGATAACCCAGAACTCCACAACTCATTGCTTTCTTACTTTCCATTTTGGCCGAATCTTGGGACGTGATTCCTGGCAGAAAGGATTGGAGCCTTCCCTCAAGGCACATAGCTTTCATGGACAGGCATGGTGGATATGTGCAGAGGAAGGGAAGAGATTTAAGCAGCCTGGGTTACCTCGTAGAGCTCTGAGGGTTTGCTGTCCTCCTGCACTATTTCTTTCCCTCTGTGTGCAGCAACACTAGTGCTGGAGGTTCTCTTCCTCTGTGATCCCTTTGCATCTATTTCTTCATCCCTGTGCTTCCTTTGCATCTATTTCTTCAGATACTTCATTATATACCTTTTTTGGAGTAAGCAACTGCTTCAAATTGACAACTAACAGGCTCATAACATGGAATCAAGGCTCTCAGTGTCTTGAATTTATCTTAGGGTCACAACCAAGAGCATCCCTGGACATTGGGATATCTGGATATTCCTCTCAACCTAGAGTATTGCATCTAATTTTCTCCTCTGCTACTGAGAAAGGGCTTCAATTTAATATCAATTTATCTCAAAATAAATTGATATCTATTATTTTTTTTTCCTTGCACTTCAGAAAAGTCATTYCTTACAGTTGCAGGAAATAATCTGGTAACCTTTCAGCTTTTCCTGCTGTGCACTATGACAATGCAGAAAAAGCTTCCTTTTTGTTTAAGAAAATATACTGCCCTTCACAGGGCTCTTTAGGACATCAAACTAGTTATTGATCACATGGGAACATTATTTTTCTGTTTCTTTTTTTTTTTTCCAAGTTAGATATGTAGGTTCAAGCTCACTAAGCCCTGGACCCTCTCTTTAGAGTCATTAATGCACCTTTAATTTTTCTGTCTGCTGTAACTTAAGTTACACTTCTTGGCCAGTGAAGCATCTTACTGCTGTGATTTAACTGGTGAATTAATAGCTAGTGGGGAAAAATAGTTTCTCTGCTTTTACCCTGGAAGCACTTGGCAGAATATGCAAAACACTGCAGTATGCTATTAGGTATAATTGAGCCATTCCTTTTGAGTTTTGTTTAACACTGTTAGTGCTCTTGGATCAGCTGTGAATTTCCTTCTCAGTAAATTGGGCTCCTTGGACTGGGGGTTCAAGTGTTTTCCTTCCCTAACCCTCGTTCATCRATCTCCTTAGCAATGACTGTAGTATTTGGAACCTCTGCAAGACTGACCAGTAACCAGGTTGTGAAGCTTGCACTGTACAAAGCTTTGCACGCAAATCAGATTTCACTGATTTCTGGCAGTGTCTGTGGGAGATGAAATCCTTCCTAGCAAGGGTCAAGAAAGATCATGTGCTAGGGAAGCTTGCTGAGACTTACTGCATGCAGCCTGCTTGGAGAGAAAAAGGTTCACCTCTTGTTTTCTTTTTGTTTGAGTCTAGCTGATTAATCAAAATGCTACTCTGTGCACTGATTTTTCTAGGATTGCTACTGCAGTGATGTAAAGAAATGGTTATTTAAAAAGAGTATTTATTTTGAAAATGTTTGATTAATATATTAATGTGAAATGACTTTTGAATGCAATTTGTTTTGCCAAGACTGTGAAGTAAAGAGAAATCAGTTCAAAATTTACGACTGCATTAGTCACTTATGTCTCTTGGCTTCTCCTTATGTTGTAAAATGAAAATAAGACCTGGGATACATGGAGGGTACTCAGAGGCTGCTCCAGAGCTGATGTCCAGACTCCGTTTGGCTTCAGGCTTCTCTCTAGCTGCCACCTTAACACAGTGAAGCTCCCTAATCAATTGGGGTGGCAACCCTCCAGATTCCACCCTCCTCCTATGTTGTGTTTGGCTCTTATCTCCCAGATATTTCTTTTATTGGATTTGAAGGCGGGCTGATCCACTTGGGTTTGGTTTCCACAGCAAGAGATGGGTGGGAAAGGAAAGCATTAAGATGTTACAGCACAGTGAGAACCTAATTTAATTCACAAAATAGCTTTCATTATTYCAGAATTAGCAATAGCTTGTACCAGTCATTGTGATTTCTTTAATTATGTCGGTCCAGCTCCAAGACCCTTCAGGAAACTTCTGCTGCGGCTCTGAAACTGTTTCATGTTGCCGAGCTCTTTGTTTCGCAGTGTTCTCCCTCAGTTACCCTCTACTCCAAGACAAAAAAAGTTTGCACAAACTTCCCAGGTCTCTTGCCCAGCACTGCTTTCTGTGCAGCTCTGAGGGCAGCAATCAATGCAAACCATGAGATTTAACAAATCTTGCTGCAACAAAGGGGTGAGAGAAGCAGCTTTTAGATACCTGCTTTGGTATTTGGAACATGGCCTCAGTGTTCAAGCGGAGTCGCAATTTCCCTAGCACAGGCAAGTGGTAAGGTGAGAGGCAGTGCTCTTTGCTGCTAAAAATGAAGGCATTTTAGAAGGCTGGATCAGGATGGAAGAAGTCAAAGACTCCTTTCTTTAACAAAGGTAATACTGAACTAAATCAGTGGCTCTTTTTGACAGTGGTTTGTGGGTGAACGTTCCTGATCTAGGATGAATTTTGATGCGTTGGATGGAGAGCTGAGGAGGAGTGAGTCAAAATGAACAGCTCAATCACGGTCACTCCGTCCGGAGTACGGTGGGCAAAAGCAAAGCACAGGGCAGGAATGATGGAGAGATGGRGCCAAAAGCCTGGCCAAGCCATGTGCTGGAAGGGCTCAGACAAGGTCGGACACTGAACGGAGCAGTGCAGTTTAGGAGGGTGCAGCTTTGGGCTGGTCTGATGCAGGTGAGAATCCCCGCTTCACCTGCTGAGATGTGAGCGAAGGACATGGATCTGCTTCAGGTACTTGCTGTCCTCTCCGCGATGGGACCACTGAGCTCTGCTGGAAAAATAGCTTTGATACAGTGGRAAGTTCCCTCAGTCCTGCCCATGTACAGGGGAAGATTTTAAATGATAAATAACGCAGTGCTGGTGAAAGTCTGCCTCCTCTCTGCAAGTGGGGTTGGGGGCAGGCATTAATACGAACCTATATCTAGTTGCAGCTTGAATGTTTAATCAGTTTTTATGCAGCAGTAATGCTGTCGTATGAAAGCTAAATCGATACCACTGATTTGCAGTTACTTGGACAGCATTATGCTTTATTGATCTGCATAAAAGTTTATCTAATAAAAGAAGGGCATCTGGAATGATTAAATTGTTGAAGCCAGTAAATCTTTTAGTATAAATGGTTTTCCTACGAAGGCCTACAATAATGTCTTCTCAAATTGACTGGGCTCTTTGAGAAGTCCGTCCCTTGCCCGTGGGGCCTGCTTCCCCCTCTGAGCACAGGGCTGTTTCCATGCTGCACTGGGCTGTGGTGAAACCAAGTCTTTCTAAAGGGCTTTGAGATGTTATGCAAAAAGCTCTTGCTGCAGGAATGGCAGGTGCTCGTTGCAAGCTTCCTGTAGGGCTTGAGATGCCCTGTGCCTTTGCTGTGGAAAGATGGTGTGGAAAAATGCTCGTTCAAGAGCATCTATAGCCCAAGAAAAGTCGCATCGTTCTCATCCATGCCAGCACGCTGAGGCTTTACCAGAGCACTCCACCTGTGCACAACCCATCCCCAAAAAAGTCAAAGCAAGGCAGCAGTTGGCACAAGTTCCCTTCCAGCTGAGATGCACTAAGCCGTCCTTGGGAGCGCGGTGAGGCAGAGCTGGCCGCCCGCCCACCACGTGTGGTTTCCTTCAAGGGCCGCCAGCTGCTTTGCCAGCAGCAGACAGCCCAATGAGCCATYGATTGCCTCCCGCCGTGAGGGGACACTGATTTATGGGTTGTGGCGTCGCCTGTGCAAGCGGAGGTGGCAGGAGGCGCGGGGCAAATCCAGGCTGAGTCCGTCCCAGAGCCGCAGCAGCAGCCCGGAGCACCCGGAGCCTCTCCTGCCCCCAGGTAAGCACCTCGGGCTGCCAAGTGGCCGTGTCCGCCGTAAGTAACTCCCAAGTGAGCAGAAGATGGGTTTTATATATATATACATATATATATGTATATAACCCAGAAGATGGGTTATGTATATATATATATATGGATTGGTTAAAAATGCTAGGGCATGTGGGGCAGAGCTGTGGGTTCAAGGCAAGGGTTTTTCTTGCAGTCACGTTGGGTGTTTCCCGTCTGCTGTTCTGTGACTCAGCTCGGAGAGCTGCCCTCATGGGACTGAACTGGAAACGGGTATTTCAGCACCTTCCTTGCCCAGGCGCTGCCTGGCTGACAGCGGCCGCAGCGGGATGTGAAAAGCCCAACGTAACTGTAAGAGTGGGAGTGTGGAGTCATTCCTGCTGTCTGGAGCTGCTGGATTTTGCACATCAGGACACAAATCAGGAGGATCTCTGCAGTGAGACGCAATCCCTGTGACCTGGCAGGCGACTGATTTCCTTCCCACTTGGAGTCTGGATCCTGCAGCAGAAGGTACTGGCTTGTGCTCCACTGCTGGAACCCGCGGCCTGAGCTCAGCTCAGCAAATTCTCTATTTCTAAAGCTTTCCCTTGCCCTCTCCAGCCTAGTCTCTCTCCTCTGCACTTATGTGCTTTGCTTTGCAAGGGCCGAGCCCTGGCCGGGCGCAGACGCTCTTCTTGCAGCACACGCCAGCTGCACCCGTATTCCGTGTCCAGACTTGTCTGGCCAGGATCTGCAGGCAGGAGATCAGCATTGCACTTTGCTCCTTTCTTCCAAGGTTTCTCACCTAGGTGGGGTTCACAGCCTGATTCTTTGGAGGAACTTTAACGCGCACATGAGACAGAGGTGGCAGTAGGAAAAACCTTGTCAGGACTGTTCGGGTGTTAAAGCTGGTGACCAGGCAGAAGGCCACTTAACACCCATCACGCCAACACGCCTCGTCTGGTTCCGAGATGCTAGCCCCAAACTTTGCCACATTCCCAAGCATCTCGGTCTCTCTCAGGCTCATGCATTTACTCCAGGTCCTGTTGGTCTGAACTCAGTGCCACGAAGCAGCCTCTAAATCTGCRTGGCCCTTTCCTGGCCCTGCAGCAAGAACAGCTGCTGCGCTGGGCTCTGCTGGCACCGGGAGGGGATGATAAATTGTGTGGCTGACATGGAATTCATTTCCCTGGGAAAGGGAGGTGGAAAAAATATTTGCTACCTCGGTGCAGCACATGACAGTAATGGAGAAAAYGCTTTAAAGCTGCCGTGGAGCCCTGCGAGCCAAATGAAGAGCACCCAGGTTAATACATGAAGCTCATGCCCTCCTACAGGAAGAGATAACTGGAAGCTGATGAAACCTGCAGAGATCCCCAGGCTGCTGCAGTGTTTGATGGCCAAAGGAGGACACTAGAGGGGTTCCCCTTGAGGGGYTGGGGACGACAAGGGCTTAAGCAGCCCACAGTGCCGACTGTCTCAGAGGAAGCAGGGCCAGAGTCACCCTCACATGCTCAGAGGAAGCCACAGAGTCACCCCCTCGGTGGCACGGGGACAGCTCGGGTCAAACCCGTGTTCCTGCCCCGGCTTCCCAAAGGAAATGCAGGTTGCACAAATGCCGCTTGGCTGCCCCTGTGGACAACTGGAAGTCCCCACTGCAATTCCCAGAAAGGCAGAATTTGCCTCCATCTYCTGCTAAAATGTCTCTCACTGCAAAACACCGATGTGGGTGTGGGCACCCCCTCACCCTGGGTACCACAGCTTTCCCGAGGGCAGCGCTCCAGAGTCCCGCGGGAAGAAAAAGAGTGGATTTAGGCAGGACAGAAATAGCCTAAGTGTAGCCTAAGTGCTTCACAGTGGAGGAGGAAAGCAAATAATCAGCATCGATCCCAGGTATGAAATTACCGGCCCCAAAACAAGTTGCATCCGTGGACAAGGGAGCGTCTCACGTATTTTGAAACCACTTTCCGTGCTCCTCCGTGGTGGGTTTTTGCAAGGTGGGTTGCCAAACCACAGCAGGCACAGCCTGGCTTTGCATAGTCATTTGAAAGCAGAAGTCGGCGGAGGGAGGTGTTGAAATCACTTTTTTGACTTTTTGCCTGTTTTCAGCCCAGAGATCGAGATAAGGGTGAGGGCCGGCTGCGGTGTCAAGATTATCAAGCTGAAAGGTAGGAACATTAACCACTTTTCATGCTTATAGAGGATCCTTTTGCACTAGCATTTCCTCTAAAAGGAAAATAACTTTTAAGAAGTGCCATGATGCTTTTTCTTTGGAAATCTCTTTTCTTTGGAGACCCGATGCCAGCAAKTACACCCCCATGAGTGAATTAATTGAGGACTTAATTCATATTGGAGGAAGCCTATAACCCTGCAGGATTCTGGTCTATGAGGTTATATCTCATAAGCATATATCCCATTTATATTTATATCCTATAACAAATGTGTTTTCCTTTAGGATGAGATATTTTTAAAAGGAATGGAGGGGTTCACTGTGTACTCTTGAGTAGATGTGGTACGTGCCACTGGCCAGTGATTTGGGGACTGAGATTGATGCTGCTGGAAGGGAGGTCTATTTTGAGGTATGCTGACTACTCCCTTTAGAAAAATAAGYCCTTTTGCAGAGCTACACATCATTTTTCTTGAACGTTTTTGGCTGGGGTGCTAAGATGTTTCCTTGATGTTCTTGCAGGCTTCTGGAAGTCTCCCAGCTTGGGGCTTCTGAGGTGTTTTGCAAGGTCCCTGCTAAACGTCTGTGGTTTGGGGTAGGGAGTTTGTTTGGATTACTGCCTCTAGCCAGAAATCTGTGGTAGTTTTGGCAGCTGCTTTTAGGGTTTCTCTTACTTGTTTCGAGGATAAAGACTCATTTCTGTGTTTAAATAGATCTAGATACATGATCTTGGTGATTTTTGCCCTAGCATGTTGGGGGAGAGCATTTTTAACAGCACCTCACCCCAAGGTGACCTTTGCACACTTCAGATAGGAAAATCCACAGCACAGCAACTGGTTTTTGATCGGAGAATGACTGATGTTTAGCAATATTTCTCACTGATATTGATTCTGTTTCTTCAGCATTTCCTGGAAAAGGGAGGTGGAAAGGAGGACTAACCTCTAACTGATTGCTCTCGCTACACTGGTTGAGGGAGGGGGCCTTTTTTTGMGACCTATCACTATTTTGTTGGAAAGAAGCAGTGGAACTGGGAGTTGCTCCAGGGGAGCAGCAGGCTGTGTCAGCCGTCTGCCTTCATCTGGGTGGCTGCTCTTTGCTGTGCCAGATTTTGCTTTTCAAAGCTGAAAGCAAAGCAGATAGCAGTCTCTTTAAGTGGCACTTTGCACTTCGCACCTCTCCTTCCCTACGATGACACTTTGCAGCAGGGCAAACAGGAGCCGAGGCTGCTGCCCACCCAGATCCATCTGCAGCTCCCCGCAGCCTGGTCTGGCTCAGTGAGGCCACCTTGAGCCTGTGGGCATCATCTCTTTGCAGCTCCAAATGACACAGCCAAGGTTTCCTGTTCGGATTAAGCCAAAATCCCCCACGGATTACTGCAAATGCCGCTMTAGAGCCTCCGCTCCTTGGGGCGCCCAGGCTCACAGCAAGTCTGAGGTTTCAAGGAGTGTTTAGGGACTATGGAAAGCCTGGAACCCTTTGATGGGGGGTACAACCCAGCCACAGTCCCAGCCCCGCTGCAGAGCACCCAGTGACCCTGCACTGGTGTTGCAGCCTGCAGCTCCTTCCTCCGCAGCCCACGGGTTTATCCTCTTAGTGGCAAACGCCCGCTTAGCTCTGCAGCACCGGCCGTGCCCGTGAGCACGTTAGACATCCGGGAGCAAAGCACCCCGTGTGTGTGTTGGAGCAGGAGGGCATCGCTGGCAGCTTTTGACAGGCAGCCGCCTTTCAAGCCACCATCAGATAAACTGTTTACGAGAACGAACGCTGGTGTTAGATGCAAAGCTTTAACGCCGCTTCCTGCCGCTGCTTTTCTCGGTTGCACGCTCAGCTGGTTCAGGATGAAGGGCTGCGTGCCCGTCGCAGCACAAGCGATCCCACTGCAGGGCTCCCCGCCAGCACAYTGCACCTGCCTGGCCTCTCCACCACCCCATTTTCAGGCTGGGTTTTGCTCCTGCTRTTTCAAAACCTGCTGTGTTCTCGCTCCTGCCTGGTCGCTTGGAAGCGACTGCCTGGGTCGGATGCAAAGCCTCGCTCTTCCCCACGTGCTGCCTCGAGCTCCCCGCGGCTCCACGATGGCGGTGCCGTCCGGGGCGCCTGCGCGCCCGCCTTGCGCTACGAGGAGGCCCGCGCGCTTCCGTTCGCTAAAATGGCCGGGCTGCGATAAGGCTGCGGTTTCCTCTGAGCATGTGAACGTGGGGAAAGGGAGGTGGCGGCGGCGGCAGCAGCTCCGCTGCGCCGGGCTCARCTTCGCCCCGACATGGACGCGGCTGGCGAGGGGCCCGGCCCCGGGGAGGAGAGCCCTGAGGTATGTGGTGCCCCATCCCGCGTCTCCTCCAGAGCCGCATCCCCTGGCGGATCCAGCCCCGCCGCTGCCTGCTCCACGGGAGCCTCCTTGGGCCTCCCCTCACGTCCCGCCGTGGCCCAGGCAAGGCCCGAGTGGTGGCGGCCGCAGCGGCCGCTTCCCCTCCTGCCAAGGGTTAAGCTCGCCGTGGGTGGAGGAGCTGAACGGAGTCCAGATGGCTGGGGGATTACGCCAACCCGAGATCTGCTGCTAGCAAATGTTAATGACCCTGCTTGGCTGTTTGTTGGGTTTTGCTGCTGTTTTTGTTATCTGTTTTGGTTTTTTTTTTTTTGCTTTTAGGAGCTTCCTAGGGTCATTTCAGGGCCCACGCTGTCCCCAGAGCAGGCGCTCATCTGTTCCTCCCTGAGGAGGGACTTGCTGGGTGCCCATCATGGAAACCTCTAGACACGTTTCAATAAAACAAATCCAAGCTGAGCTTTTTTGTTGCTTTTTGGGGGTTAATTTTGAGCCAGGCTGTGCTCCCACCGCTTGGGTCCCCACCTCCCTCTGCCTGCCAGCGGGGTCACCGGCTGCTGGAGCGTTGGCGGGGGCGAAGTCCCTCAGCCCCCGTGCGGCCCGGCTGCCAGCGCCGACCGCKCCAGGAAAAACGGGCGTGTTTGGCCCCGGGCGGCCGGGTTTGTTCAGCAGAGACACGGGGGAGACGCGGGCTGATGCGGGAAGGTGCCGGCGGCCGCTCGGCACGCAGCGCTTCGGGCCCTGTCCGTCTTCAGGAGACCGAATGTCACTGCAGGGCCTCCCTCCGGCCTCTGTATCAGCCGGGAGCTGCTTGCTGCCATGGCAACGTTGGCCTTTCCTTCAGATAGGGCTCCGGCTCTGGCGGCCGCCAGCCCTTATCGCCCTTTGACGCCTCCGTGTCCGTGACGGCAGCCCCAACCTTGCGGTGGGCGCCGGGCGCCTTCCCCTGAACACCGGTGGCCTCCCAGGGGGACGGGGTGGCTGTGGTGTGGGGGCTTCGCCCTTCCCCTAGGCACCCGCAGGGTTTTAGGGTGTCCTGCAGGCGCTGTGTGCCCCAAAAGGCACCTGGACGTCAGCGGTGGCCTCTGCTGCACCAACAGACCCAAACATCTCTGGTTTTCTTGTTTCTCCTAGATGGATCTGTCCCATCGGTTCTCCAAGCGAGAGGTACGAGCGTGGCCTGCTTTCTTTCGGGTACACAGGCTGCCAAGCCCCAGGGTCCCCGCAGGAGGAGAGGTGTTTGTTGGGGGATGAAACAGCACCTGAGAACCCAGTGAAGCCCCCCGAGATCACCCCTGAAGCAAATGAGCCCCATCTGGATGTCTCTGAGCAGCTCCCTGCCAGGGTGACCCCCCATCACATTGAAATGTCCCCCTGTGGAGGGCAGTGCCAGGAGAGGGGCCATGGCTGACTGGGGCCCTCTCCTGCCACAGCTCGCCCTGCTCTACGAGGAGGTCCTCTACACCATCCACTACCGCCTGGGCAAGCCCGAGGACAACCACGTGGCTGACGCCGAGGAGCTCTATGCCTACGTGCAAAAGGTCCATGCTCACGTGCCAGCCGGAGCGGGAGCATCGCTGCTGCACCCTAACCTGCCTCTCCTTCCCCTTGTCCCTTCCACATGTTGTGGGGTAGGAACTGGAGGGCAAGGCCACCTTAACAGATGCAGCAGCAACATCTGGGCGGAGGGCAGGGGGCAGCTTGTGCCTGGGAAAAGCAGCTCTCAGCAAGAAATGTTTATTTTCAGCTCGGGCTGGTTGGAAGCAGTGTTTCCAGTAAGAGCTTTCAGCTGCTCCCTAGCCTCTCTCCTGGGCTGTTTGCTTCTCTCCTCTCCCATCGAGTGCTCCAGCTGGCTCCCATGGAGCAAGCGTCTAGCTTCCCAGCCCTGGGAAGTCCCTGGCTGTGCTCCAACCACTGTTAGCCAGACAACATCCGTTATCGGCCTTAATTTTTGCAACAGGCTTTCAGCATGGATGCGGAGGAGCACAGCGTCATCATGGAGCAAGTCAAGGAACTGGAGGTAGGGAGAAGGATGTGGCTCCCAGCTGGCCAACCAGGGGCTGGCCCTGCTCCATGGGTTGCCCCTGTGGGGCATCCTGGTCTGGGTATTGGGACTCTGGGGTAGAGCAGCTGCTCCTTGCCGTGGCACTTGCCCAGGAGCTGTTTGCTGGCCTGCTGTGACAAGCGGCAGCCGATCGGACGGTCCCATTCCAACCCTGATCTCCTTGCAGGGTTGGTGACAGCCCTACACACTYGCTGCCCTGCTAAGCTTTGTGGCTGCTTTGTGCCTGGCAGGCTCTTCCTTCGGGCCTCATGAGAATCCTGCCTGATGGGTGGAAGAGATCTCCCCACCACTGCTCTGAAATTAGACGTTTTTTCTTTCTTCCAGAGCCCAATTTTTTGTTTGAAAGCAACTGTGAAGGAAGCCAAGGGGATTTTGGGTAAAGACGTCAGTGGTGAGTGGAGATATGTGGGTGTCTCAGGCAGAAAAAGGACAGCTGCTGCTTGCTGTTGCAACAAGGTCCTTCACTTCTGTGATGTTGCAGGGTTCAGTGACCCATACTGCCTGCTGGGAATAGAGTCCAAGAGCCAGGAACGAGCTCATCAGGAGAACAAGAAGCGGCTAAAAGCTGTGGTCAAAGACCTCATCCCCGAAGACCAGATCCATCGCACCCAAGTCATAAACCAGACCCTGAGCCCAGTGTGGGATGAGACATTTATCCTGTAATCCTTCCATTCATCTCTCCTTGCCAATGGCTGTTGCCTCGGTTAGCAAGGGATCTTTCCAAGGGATCCCTCCTTGGGTGGCAGGGGGATGCTGGAGGGTTTCGGTGTTGTGCCTTTAGATGGCCACTAGTGACATGCCAAGCTCAGAGCTAAGTTAACCTTCTACCCCAGGTGAGATTTTGGACTCTGATGGATCAGTGCAGRTTCTCACTGTATTTCAGGTCTGATCCAATTAAAAGATCGACAGAGCATAGTGTGGAGAGGTGGCAAAAATCCTTTCCTTGGGACTCTCCCTTGACGTGCCCATGGGTATCAGGCCATATCAGGTGGTGCAAGGGTCTCCATCTCTCCAGGGGCCTAGTGGCAATCACCTACCTTTAATCTTTAGCTATCCTGCCTGCTTGCTGCCCATCTCTGACTGCAGACAACTGCTTGAGTAATGTTTTCCGGCTGTGTCTTGCAGGGAGTTTGAAGATGTGGAAACCGCCAGCTTCCACCTGGACATGTGGTGAGCAGCAGCATCCTTCTTCCTGGGCCGACGGCCCTCAACCTGCCTGAGAAAGGTCCTGCCTCCTTGCAGAGCGTCCTGGGAGGGTCACCAAGGCATTCCTTGAACCTGCACCCTTTAAAAAGTCCTAGAAACTCACTTGGGACCTGGTTCCCTATGGCTTTCTACTGTAAGAACTCACCAAAAGCAGAGTATAATGCAGGACGTGCCTGCTGTGCAGTGGAAAGAGCCCAGATTGCTTCTGTATGGGTAGGGTTTATTGCCCAAGACAAAAAGCAACRGATTGAAACCTGATTTTATTCCTAGGCAAGGGTTGCTCTTGGAAACATGCAGTGTGCTTAGGGGGTTTGGGTGGAAGACACTTTTGGGAAGTGCTGTCAGCCCACACTCATTCATGCCARTATCTTTCCTTTGCACTGTCATTTTGGCTGCCTGAAATGTTTTGTAGTAGCCTGAATTTCCTCTTTTGTTTTCCTGTGGGTTTTCCTATCTACCCTTGCAGGGACTCGGATGTCATGGAGTCYGTGCGGCACAAGCTGGGGGAACTCACTGACCTCCATGGGCTCAAGAGGTGGGTGCTGCTGCAGCCCAGCACTGCTGTACAGGTGGCTCTTCCAGGGGCAGAGAGGGCAGGGTTTAGAAACGACCTGTTTGCCTCCTTAATTCTGCAAGTTCTCTTGCTCTTCTGCAAGAGKTGGTAGAAGTCATGAATGTAGCTGTCAGGAGGTGAAGGAAAGGTTGTTCCTGCGAAGTCTAGAGAAGAAGAACAAGGAATGGAAACCTTTTCATCGTCCAATTTGTGCCTTACAGGATCTTTAAGGATGCTCGAAAAGACAAAGGTCAGGACGATTTCCTGGGGAAYGTGGTCCTTCGCCTGAAGGTGAGAGTGGAACAGGATGTTGCCCTGTTCAAGATGACCCCTCCTCTGAGAGCCTCCACAGACTTTAATTAAGCCTTCTGAGGTGTGGGGCAGGATCATAATCCTCCATCAACACAGGTCTAACTTGGGCTTGGTGCTCTAAGCAGCAGCAGAGCTACACAGAGATGTTGGGTCTTCCAGCTTGGTGATGCATGCCCTGACCAGCCAAACACTATTTCTCAGCAGTTATGTATTATTTAAAACAAACAAGCAAACAAACAAGTAAGAGTTATCAAACAGAACATCTCCCTGCATTGACAAATRTGCTGGGGACCTGTTCTTTGAATGGGAATCTTACATTTGGGAAGACTGCCTTGGGGTTTTACACCTTGTCTCTGTGGGTGCAGGACTTGCACTGCTGGGATGATCAGTGGCACCTGCTGGAGCCGCGGACAGAAACCTACCCCAACCGGGGACAATGTCACCTGCAGTTCCTGCTGACACACAAGAAGGTAGGAGGGGACAGGGAAAGGAAGTCCATTACCACCAGCATGGCAGAGAGGAGCATCTCCTTCTGTCCACCCCTTGGTTCCCATCTCACGTCCACGTTCCAGGCAACCTTCGGGTCTCACTCACTAGATAACACCTTRCCACTGAGCACAGAGGCACACAGTGACAACGCATTCAATGCTAGTGCAGAGTCCTCCACTGCAAATCTGCTTTGCAGGAGTACCTGCACCTTGGTTGCTGCTTCAGTTCAGACAAGAGCTCTCTGGCCCTCGGCTTATTGGGTTCTTGTCACTCTCTAACTTCATCCCGGGTGCTGTCTCTTTTCAGAGGGCCACCACAAGCAGCAGGACACAGCCAAGCTACACTGTCCATCGTCACCTCCTACAGCAGCTGGTGTCCTATGAGATCCTGCAGCATCAGGTAGTGAGAAGGGCAATGGGCAGGGGGAGGAGATGGTGACGAAGCAGCAGAAATGGAAGCTTAATTCCCTGAGAGAGCAGGGATAAGGGCTTCCTTTGGAGCCCATTGAATTTGAYATCCTGCTGTTGGCACCACAAAGAGAGAGGCTGCTCCCTGGGGAGGTGGGTCACAGTGCATAGCCCACAGAGATCTGTGGTGTCCGGAAGCTCCCCAAAGCCCTTTACAGCAGACGTTCCTGCAGTGGCCCTGCAAACACACCCTGCCACTGTGCTTGTCCCCTGCTCGTCACTCGTTCCAGGCCACCTCACCTTCTCTTTGCGTCCTCTTTCCTGCAGGCTGGCAGCACTGCCTGGGACGGGGAGCTGAGCAGACACGCCATCACCGTGCTCTACCTGCATGCCACACAGAAGGATCTGTCAGACTTCCACCAGGTCATGGCGTGAGTACCCTTGTGCCCCAGGGAGCTGAGCAACGATGCAGCAGTAAAGGGGATGCTCATGGGTCCTGGCACCTTTGCCTTGATGCTTTTTAGTCTTGGACAAGTCCTCAGTTCCCCACTTAAAAGATTGCCCTAATAATGTCTCACTGAATCTCAAGGGCATTATGGACCTCCTTGGCAGTCCTCCTTGGCAGCTTTGAGATTGCCCCAACAAGACTATCAATGCTGGCCGTGGCCAGATCAGCTGGCCCTGGCTGTTTCTCCAGCCAGGAGAGCTTTTTCCTCCTTTCCCTCGTGCATGACTCACTTCTGTCTCATGCCTCTCTGCAAGCACCTCCTGGGCCCAGTCTCTCCTGCAAAGTTTAGATTAGCATTAGTGGTATTAAACCCAGGGCCACGAGCAGCAGCAGGAAACCTTGGTCCTGCCCTTGCAATCACAGGCCCAGCTGCAGGCAATGGAGTGTGGATGTGGATGAGGGAGCCCCATTCCCCCATTTCTCATGATTGCTGTGTTACCAAACTGACTCTGGAAGTGGGGCTTACACAGCTGGGTCACGAGAGGCCCCTTATGGCTGCCAGAGATCGCCCTAGTGCCTTGGTAGTCACTCTAGCCTCTCCCTGGCACCTCAGGCAGTGGCTGGCTTACAGCAAGCTCTACCAGAGCCTTGAGTTCAACAGCAACTGCCTGCTCCACCAGATCACCAGCATCGAGTACCAGTGGATGAAGGAGCGTCTGAGGCCTGAGCAGGTGAGAGGAGGTGCTGAATGGGGCAGAGATTGGGACGTCCCAGGAGAAACATGCCCCAAGCCACAGCCATGGCCTCTCCTCCCAGCTTCTCTTGGCGTGATTGTCACTTACCACCAAWGTGGCCAAGCTCATGCATTTTTCCCTCCCTGTGCTCCAGAAAGAGCAGGAGACAGTGGGATACAGAGATGCCCTGGGAGCCTAGAAACCCTCTTAGGGCAGCCAGGAGGTACCAGCAACAGAGTCCACAGACAATACACAGGTCAGATAGCCCCTTTTGCCCCAAAMTGGTCTCTCTCTGTGCAGAGAGGCCCTCACTCTGTACACTGACATCCCCCTTYCTCCAGCGTGTGAGCATCACAGTCRTCAAGTCAATCACCATCCCCTCCTCCCCTGAAATGAAACATGACCCAATTCTTGCTCTCCAGTCCCTGCCCAGGGCATCCCAGCACCCTGCTGTGATTCTGAATTTTTCACGCACAGCAGTGAGGTTTAAGCAGAAAGGTCAGTTGAGCCCCCTTTTGGGAGATGTTACCTAGGGCATCTAAAGGTTTTCATATTCCCAGGCTAGAGATGAACCTAGAGAACCTCCACTTCAGTGCTGAGTGTCTTCTGGCATCTCCATCCAGGGATGGAAATGTGTGTTTGCTTCCATCTTCCCAGAAAGCAGAGCTGGCCGAGTCCTTCCAGTCCTTCCTGCTTTATGGCATCTCTCTCATCCGAAGGTTCCGCATCATTTTCCCCCTCTCTGTCCCAAGGTCCACCGAGAGGCTCCGGTCCCTGCTCAGGTGAGTGAACTGTCACGTTCATCATCCAGTGTCAGCTGCCCCTGGGGCTGTGGTGTTGGCCCCTCGAGATGGACAAATTTGCGACACTTTCACCTCCTGCCACCCATCCATCTTGTGGGAAGGGGGTGTCAAAGCTTGAGCAAAAGCCCGTGAGAGCCCTTTCTGCCCCCTTCCAGGCTGCTCCCCATAACTGCTGTGCAACATGTCCATCCCTCCACCTGTGGTCTAGCTTCTGGTCCTGGGCTCCCCATGGGGGACTTTTTTCAGGAGGAGAAGGTCTGTTTGGGTAGGATCTCCAGGGTGGTTGTTTCTGAAGGTTTTCTTTTCCTGGGTTTCACTGGTGGTTCTCACTTTGCAGAGTCCTGGTCCAGATGTGCAAAATGAAAGCCTTCCGAGAGCTCTGCACACTCAGCCCTGACCTCCCTGCAATGGTCTCCGAGGCTCTCAAGGTACCAGGAGCACGGGGAGGGTCTCTCCCACCACAGCCTGAGGGAGCTGAGATCATGTGGCTATTCCCTCCCATCCTTTCTCTTCCCAATTCCCACACTTCAGCCTTTCCTCCTGTAAAGGCTGCCAGCTGCACAGACCACCACTGGGGGGGAAATACCAGCTCCTCTTCCTCTTCAACTCAGCTTGGAAGTTGCCACGTACTGAGTCTGGGCCCCACAGCTCCCACCAGCCCACGTTGGCATGGGGTGACAACAAGCAGGGTGAYGGAGCAACCTTTGCTCCTCTGCCTTCACACTGTGTCCTCTCTCTTGCAGTCAGGAACTACAGAGTGGTTTCACATGAAGAAGCAGCACCTCAAGCCCATGATGAAGGTCGGGTCCCATTTCTGCCTTTCTGAGATTACAAGGAGCAATTTGCTGGGCTTGGGGAGAGAAAATAGGGATGAGAAGAAGCTTTTGCAGTTTTCCGATACAGTCTAGACRTTTGGGTTTCCAGCCTGAAACATCATTATCAGGCTGTTAACTGCACATGCGGAGGCACAATGAAGCTTAAGTCCTTGGTGTGATTCTCAGAAGAACAGGAGCTGGTCCCCAGCCCAGATATGCAAGCATGGGGCAACAGTGGATGTCACTGACAAAATTCTGCTAATCCTAAGGCAGGTCTAATSATAGATCACAAACAAAAAGTCAAGTGAACAGAGCCCAAGTCTTCTCAAAAACAAAACCCTCTTATTTTGGATATCCAAAATAAGCTCGTCCTTCCTTTGCAGAGCATGGAGGAGAATGGCAAAGCCCTAGGCAAACTTCTCCTGGAGGTAATAGGAGATCTTCAACAGTGCAACAAAACATGGAATAAATTCTTCATCAGGTGAGTTGATCTCTCATTGTCCACCTTCCATAGGGCTAGGAGCCACAGGAGACTTGGACACCTCATTTCTCACCTCCAGCTGCACAATTAATGCTTGTAAAAGAAATCTACAGGAATAAACCCAAGCTGTGAGACCCAGGAGACAGGAAACCTCTTCTAGCAGTCTCAGGAGAGAACAGATATTAACTACTGACTTCCTCATGTTCCAGTGGTCCCTCTTAGATGCCCTCTTAGAGCTGTGACACCATTTCTGAGCGGTTCTGCCTCTTACTGCAGGGGTGTGGGCTGGGGAGGGCTTTATAGACCGTGATTGTTGCCTAAGTCTTTCAGACTCCTGACTCCCTGYTTCTCTCTGCAGCACCTTGAAACTGAACATCTTTTCCATTGCCTACCTGGAGCTGGAGAGCCTGGTGAGCAAGCTTGAGTTGCTCTGCAGTCATGGGACTAAAACAGGGTTGAGACTTTTAGCTCTCTCAGGCTTGGCTTCCTGCAACTACCTGTTGCAAGTCTGTAAAGTGAGCAAGCCAGGGAAATTCTCAGAGTCTTTCCCTGCGTGCCCACTAAGTGACTACAATCTGTTTGTCCCTCTGTTTGCTTGACTTGTTGAATATCCTGGAATGCCAGCCAAACAGAAGGGGAGTCCCCAGAGCTGACCCTCCACCTCATGGTTCCTGAGATCCCAGAACAGTCCGAGACTTACTGGCCTGACACTTGCTAACACCTCTCCTACCCTGAGGTGCCCACCTTGTTCCTTTTTGCCATTGCTAGGTTGCGGCGCATGTACAGGAGCAGCTGAGTGAGATCGATAGCAGCATGTCCAAGCCCACAGCAGAGAGCCTTTTCCAGCTCTACATGAGCCTACAAGAGCTGTATCAGATGAAGGACTTCCTCCCAAAGTGGTACTGACCCATTCAAGCTGAGCTTTAATCAGCACTGGAGAAAAGGGAGATGCTTGAGGAGGGGAATGAGTTGGTGGTGGGAATGAGTTGGTAGTTTGGCTGTCCTGGCAGGGGCAGGAAGCTCTTTGGGCTGGAGTTAATCAGAGGAACACCTGGCTCTACATGGAGTTAATCAGAGGAACACCTGGCCCTTCACATTTGCCTCTGGATTAATTTTGGCTTTTCACTAATTACATATGAGGCAAGGACACCAGGCTGTTGGATGTCTGGCTTTTGATGCAAGCATCATCAGAGGGTTTCAAGATCGTCTCTGAGCTGGTTTGACAGAGACATCAACTCCCAGACAAGAAGTCACAGAGGTGGAGTCTTCTCCTTAGCATGTTGCTCATGAGGCTCTTCTTATGGGTTTATGTCTGTTGCTGGGATGGACTGTGCTGAGGGTTCACCCATGGCTGCCTCCTTAGGGAGAAAAGAGGGTTTGTAGTCCTGTACTGTTGTACAAATAGGGAAACGGGTACCTTCATCCACAGGGATGGGTCCTTGGCTCTCAGTGACTTCCACCAGTGGTTCAAAGAAGCTGTGCCCCAATGGCTGCAGAAGGCCTACACAATTGCACTGGAGAGGACMCAAAAGGCTGTCCAGATGGACCAGGTAACATGGGGAACAGAACGGTCTCCTTTCAGCCACACGAGGACTCACCATCTCCCTCCACATGCACCTATCCAGCCTTTCTGGGGCTTGGATGAACTAAGCTACATTTGCTCTCCTCACCCACCCAGATGATGCCCTTCGGGGAGCACAACAAGCACAGCACATCCACCGTGGACCTGTCCACCTGCTATGCCCAGATCGTGAAGACCTGGCAGCAGCTGAACTGGCCGGATCCAGAGGAAGCCTTCATGATCATGGTCAAGCTTGTGGAGGTTTGTGCTCCCGGACCACATCAGCAGCAGGCACCAAGGGCAGCAGTCTCCATTTGCTCTTGTAGACAGCTCCCAGTGAAGAGGACCAGAGTCATGTCCTGCTGGGACAAGTCAATGCCGTTCCCCTAGCTCCACAGTGGTTTCCTTGTTCCCATTCCCCTGCTCAGTCCTGCTGCTTTTCCCTCCAGGACATGTGCAAAATCGCCCTCATGTACTGCCGGCTGATCAAGGCGAGGGCCGAGGAGCTGTCGCAGCGGGAGCAGAACGAGGGCGACGCGGCCAACAGGGTGGGTATCAGAGCAGGCCCCRCGGCCCAGGGGCAGCTGGACATGGCCAGGGAAGGGGAAGAACTGCAGAGCGCCCAGCCAGAGAGCTGCTGTGCCAAGCGTGGCTCTCGCAGCGTTGAGTGGGCATGGAGGAAAATCTCTCTCCCTTATATCAGTAATCCTGGAAAACCAAGGGGGAAATCGCGGAGRCAGTGGGATGGGAGGCCAGTGAAGCTAGCAGGGGGCTTATGCTGACAGCAGAGGGGCATATACTGAGTTCYCCAAAGCAAACTCTTCTCCTTCAGCTCTGCATCGTGGTGAACAACATCAAGCAGCTGCGGCTGCTGATCCTGAAGCTGCCGTCACAGCTGGACTGGACCCAGCTGGAGCAGCGCACGGGGGACATCATCAACCCAGAGCAGATCCAGCACACGCTGCACAACCAGCTGGACAGCACCATCTCCTGCCTTGACCACGAGATCAGGGACGTGGTGCAAGCCCTGGCCGCCAAGGTCTGCCTCTGTCCCTGCTCCCCTTCATCTGGCCCAAAGCAGGGATGTTTAAGCCAAGGTGGCCACAGAGCCYGGGACATCTTCTGCCTGCTGGGGTGGGCTGGGCTCCTATGGCATGGAGCCAAAACGGGTGAATATAAAGGAAGCCTGGGGAGCAAAGCAAATCCTTAGCACAGGACTTCTCGCACAAGGAGGCTCAAGGAAGGAGTTTAGCTTGGTAAGGAGGAGGCAGGACAGGTACTGGAAGGTGCCAGGGTGTTTCTGCAGGGTGGCAGTGCCCGGGTGCCCGCGGCACGCGGTGCAGGACGGCTGGCAGCCTGCTGTTGCAGGACAGTGGCACAGCCCGAGTGTCTCAGTGCATTTCCTCTCCGGCAGCTGGAAGGGGGCATCGCCAGGCACATCCAGGAGCTCTCGGCCTCCCACGACACCCGGGAGCCTGAGGATGTAAGTACTGGGCCTCTCCTGGCCCCGTTCCTCTTGCGAGTCACCCGTGGCCATGGAGCACTGTGCTGAAGGCTGGCAGCAGCAAGGATAATACCTGTCTGCTTGGTGGAGGCCCCTGGCAACACTGCTCCCCACAGCCCATTCCTGGAATCCAAGGGCACACATCAGAGGGTCCAGACACCCATAATGATAACCAGGACTAGACTTGAGAGCAGCCTCGCTGCCCTGGCAGCTCTMAGCCCCTCTCCCCGCTAAGCCCTGCCAGGCCCAGCGCAGGGGGTGCCCTCGCTGACGCGCCCTTCCTCTCACCGCAGTCCATCATGCCGCTGATGAAGTTCCTGGAGTCGGAGCTGCAGTATCTCAATGAGCATCTGGTCCAGGAGAACTTTAAAAGGTGACGTGTTGTGGCCAGGGAGGCACCGCAGCAGGGCCGGTAGAGCCAAGGTGGAGGCCAGTGGCCAAGGTGTGCTGCAGGGAGAGAAGGGCCAGCCCTGTCTGAGCACCTGGCAAGCCACCTTCCCTGGCCAAAGCGTCCCTGGGGCTCGGGGACGTCCCCACCTTGGGGCGGGCAGCTTGGCAGAGCGGGATGAGTCTGATCCCTCCATGCTTGTGGGGCACTCTGGGTTTTCCTTAGGGCTTTCCTGAGGATGGAGTCCCTTGTAGTCCCAATGCTGACAGCCCTTCTCGCTCGCCCGCGCAGCCTCCTCGGTCTCCTCTGGCATCACACCTTGGACGTGCTCTCGGCGGCTGCGCGGCAGCAGGTCCCCTCGGCCCAGCACTACAGGAAGCTGCACTGCGCCCTGAAGGTACCGGGAGGGCCCCGGCGCTGGGGCACGCACCCGTTTTGGGTGCCCGCTAACAACATCCTTCTGCCCAGAGCCTGGAGCTCTGCTTTTACGCCGAGGGCTGCGGGCTGCCCCTGGAGACCCTGCACACGGCAGCCTTCCAGGTAAGAGGGGCGATGGGCAGGAGGCTCCCATGGCCTCCGTGTCTGCTGGGACTGTGGGACGCCCTCGGGTGCGCCGGGAATGAGAGCAGGAGTGCCCTGTCTGCTCGCTTGATCATCACACCTCCTCTTCCTCCTGCCAGTCACTGGAGACCCACCTGGCCCTCTGCTCCGCCAGCAGCCGCAAACTCATCCAGAAATACTTCAGCAACAGGATCCAGCAGCAGGTCAGGGCCGACCCCAAGCCCTTCCCTTCACTCAGTCCCAGCCAGGCCCCACTTCTTCACATACGAGGCCATACGATGCAGCCCTGCTGCTTGAACCACTGCATTTCCCACTTGCTTTGGGCTCCCCCAGCTCCAGGAGCCCTTGGGAGCAGTTTCACGCTGTTGATGGGCAGATTTAGGAGGRTTAGTCAGCCAGCTAAGGGGGAAAACTGCTCATCCAGGTCAGAGGATCCCCCTCACCTCCCAGTGCCTGGAAACACGTCTGCGCAGCCTCCATCAGCCCCAGGGCATCCCCACTSCGAGTGTGCAAGAGCCAAAACCCGGCGCCCTAATTAATGTTGTGCTGCCTCGCTCAGCTGGACACCACGTCGGAGAAGTACGGGGCCGTGACGATTAAAGTGCTCTACCGGCCCTCGGAGCAGAAGCTGCGCGTGGAGGTCCTCAACGCCGTCAACCTCATCCCCTTGGACTCCAATGGTGAGCACACACTGGCGGGGCAAAATCTCCACTGCTTGGAGCAATGGGGGCCTGGCATCGCTCACTCTTGCACCCAACAAGGCTGATTTAGGGGCAAAAGGAGGTTATTTTACCAGCCTGGGGTTGCTGGTGATCTCCTGTGATCTGCCTGGCGGGACGCTCAGGCAGCACTGCCCACTCTGTCCACCTCTCCCTGCCTTCACTTCGCACCCACCCTGCTCCTGGCAGGAGCTTGCAGCCAGAACAGCCCCATTCATGCTGCACAACCCCCGTCTCACACCAGTATCAGGTAGTGTGAGRGGGGCCAAGGGACCTCCTGGGGAGGTGGCTGTCATTCAGTGAGGTCCCCAGGAGAGGTCACTGTATTTCAGTGCAGCTCCCCCGGCCCCGGGCTGGCTCAGGGCAGCCYTAGCACCGTCCTGGTGCAGTGAGAGGGGCCCGTGGTCCATATAATGGAAACAAATCCCCCAGATCAGGATCTTGCTGAGACGTGTGGCTACATACCCAGGGCAGACGATGTTCCTGCCCTGGCAGGGGCTGGGCAGTAGCCAGGCYCCTTGGGTGCCCTAAGAAAGGTCACAGCAGCCCCTGAGGTGACTCGGGTGGCCCGAGAGGGCTCACGGTTGCACCCCGCCAGGCTCGAGCGACCCCTTCGTGCAGCTCACSCTGGAGCCGCGCCACGAGTTCCCCGAGGTGGTGGCCCGGACCACGCAGTGCAAGAGGAACGAGCTGCACCCTCTCTTTGATGAAGCCTTCGAATTGTACGTGGAGGCCGACACCAGCCGCCAACCTCCCCCTCAACACCCTCGGTGCCTCCATGGGAGCTGGTGCCCGGACGCCTGGGCCCTGCGTGCGGGGATGGGGCCATGYCAGCATCTCTCCCTCCCCGTTCCAGCTTGGTCCCCCCGGAGAAGTGCCGTCAGGAYGGGGCCTGCCTGCTGCTGACTGTGTTCGACTACGACACACTGGGCACCAACGACCTGGAGGGCGAGGCCTTCTTCCCGCTGAGCCGTGTGCCGGGGCTCGGTGCCGGCGAGGAGCAGCCCCCCAGCACCCGCGTGCCCCAGACCCGCCTCCCGCTCACCCACCCCAAGCCGGACGGTAGGTGCAGGGCAAGATGGAGCAGGGGGGGGGCGGTCACAGAGGGGCCCACGGCTGCCAGCAGCACCTCTGCCCTGCCGCCCTCTCCCCCAGGCGACGAGATCCTGTGGCTGCTGGAGCAGCGCAAGGGGGACAAGGAGGCGCAGGCCTTCGTCAAGCTCCGCCGGCGGCGAGCCAAGCAGTCCAAGGAGGCGGTGTGAGGTCCTCCCCGTGACGAGGGCACCCAGTCCCTCTTGGCGGCTGCATTTGGGGTCCACGACGTGTGGTTGCCCCTTGAATGCGTTGCCGCCATCCGGCTCCGTGTGGCCCGGCCCCATCCTGCCGGTGCATCACACGGCGGGGGAGCCACCCTGCATCCCTTTTTTTCCTTCTTTTCCCTTCATACCCCTTTGTTTTTTAATTAAAAGCAACAAACCTGATGTGTTGGGCAGATCTGGGCTTGGAGCTATGGCGTAGGCTGGCACAGCCCAGGCTAAGGGCAGCGAGGGGGCAACAAGCCAGAGCCCTGGGACAATCTTCATCTTTATATGGACCCCTGCCTTGTTTGCAAGGATCAGCCTGTTGGTTTTATCGGGGGGGGAGGGTGTCATTATAAAAATATCACCTCCCCAAAAGCCTTCCATCAAATTCAGATTGGGGCAAAAAGCTTCTGCGTTGCCTGTGCGCATGGGCTCGGCCCATCAGCAGCAGGAGGGACCGAGGCTCCTCTTGCTCATTGGGAACCCCTGGCTTGTTGAAGTCCCTGGTTTCAGCCCCAAAAAAGGGGCCGACAAACCCAAGGGAAGAGAGTGGAACCAACCCCACAAGAGAATCAGAAGCCAAGAAATCCCACGAGGGTAAAAGCAGGTGAGGATGAAGAACCCCCCTGCCCCTCTCCCCCCCATCCTCATCCTCATCGCATTCCTCCTGGCAAAGGCCATGGGCTACCAACAGTCGGCCCCAATGGCACATGGGAATTCATGGCACTTGTGTCTACCGATTTTATTACATTATTGCTGTTCTTTAATACAAATTGTGTGATGTGGAATAGTGTTGTAATTCCTCTAAYGTGAAGTGTTCGACATATCTTTCAAGCACTAATTTAAAAATAAATGCTCACTGGGGGATGCTTGCACGAAGTGTGTTCTGGAGGTTGCCAGCACGTGCTGTCACACGTGCAGCAGTGTGAGCAGTCACCCTTCCTGGCTGCAGGGCCAAGGGACTGGGCAGCGCTCGCGTCTGCCAGGCCCCGCTCTYGCCAAAGACACTTGGGGCCAAAGTTCTCTGCCTGGCCCACGAATTTGGGTACTAAAATGCTCCTGGTTCATTGAAGGGCTCTGGGGTTCTGCCATCTCCATAGGCGTCTCCACCACAGCAAGCGTCACCAGAAGGACGATGTGGTGTTGCAGAGTAAAGACAGCCTCATCAAACGGGGCTTGTTGTACGGAAACAAATTATCCGTGGTGGGACCGGAGGGATCAAGGTGGACTGGCCTGGACACACGCTAGAAAGCGGGGTTCAGACGACGCTACCGCGCGGACCTCCCACCACCAGCACCACGGAAGGGTCCACGGCCGCACATACACCCCGGGCACGCACACGCACACACACTGCTTTATTTTTTTGTTCGTTTTCTTTTTCTTAGCAAAAAAATAAAAATTTATTGTCCTCTAAAAAAAAAAAAAAAATCCATCCTGCCCTTGGAAATTGTGACACAGATTGAGTTCTTTTCAGCCCCACATGCAAATTCACTCTGCCAAGAAAAGAGTCTAAACCAGGTTTCCGACAGCCAAAACACATATTTACAGAATACGAGAGCGAGCGCGCGAGAACRACAGCTGAAATCACAGTTCTATACATGGAATCAACAACACAGTTTACACACACCGATTACCACCGATTCTGCCCACTTTGACACCGACTCAGGGCCCTCCTGCCCAGTGCCCCTTCTCCCGGGGACGGCGGAGAAGAGCCTGGGCAAGACCTGCCCCAGAAACACTGCAGTGTGCATTAGTATTATTTCTTAAACGTATACTGCATTTATTTTAACATTGGAAGCTACAGAGTGGGGAAGCCCCAGAAATCCCTCCGACGCAGTCACTAGCCTGCACGAATACTTCACTTGTTAAATACTTGTGTGGTTTCTTTTCCCCCTTGTCATCTCTATGTTTCTGCCGGCTGTCGCTCCAAGGATCGTTATAATTCTGGAGGGAAACACTGTTTTTTTCTTCCTTCYCAGATGGGGGGAAAAGGAGAAAAAGGAGATGGGGAGGCTGGTGGAGGGCAGCGAGCGGCTGCCTCCGCGCAGCGCCCCGGGCTTCCTCACATGGAGGGAGGCCCCTTGGTTGTCTCAGCCGGACAGGCCCCGCGAGCGGCTCACTGCAGCTCCGGGCACGAACGCAAACCTAAACCCTGGGACAGCAGCCCCTGGGGGAGGCCTCGCTCATGGAAACGTGGCCATTCCCCGCTCCATCCCGCGCCACGTGCGCCCGAGATGGCTTTGGGCCACAGCGCCTAAGGGCGGAGATGATCCTGAGGCGGAGCCAGCGCCAAACGCACCGAACTTCCTCCCTGGGTCTTCCCTACAGCTCTGTCCTTGTTCTTTGATATCCAGTTCCCTAAGATATCGTTGCCTTAAGCCACCTGCTTGGAGATTTTGTTTTTCCATAATAAAGTAGGAGTTTTTGACCTTCAGGAATGCTGTGGTCTCACAGCGCCCAGGCCTCCTGTCTGCCCCACCTCAGCTCAGGAGCCTCCAGTCAGTAACAGAGGCCAGCGCGTCCCAAGCTCCCAGATTTGGGGAGGAAAACGGCCTTACAGAGGTGGAAGTCTCCACAAGTGAGTGGGACAGGTTAGCGCCCAGACGGGCTTCGCTCAACCACACGGGGAAGCAAAACTCTGTGTGGAAGCGTGACTCAAGGCGCCCTTGGTCGTGGTGGGTCACTGATGTCCTGCACAAGGGAGCTTCCCAMTTCAGAAGGAGGTGGGATGGTCTCGTAAAGGAGGACGACTACGTTAGCACCGGATTTGTTTCACCCACGGACACGCTGAGCCAGCGCCGAGGCCTCAGCTCTCCTCTCACGCGAGCAAGAAACRCTGTCACGGAAGAGGCCCCTCCAAATGATTTGCAAAAGATGCCAAGATCAAGTTCTTAAGAAAAAAAAAAATTCACATTTCATATTTCTAGGGACCTAGATTAAAGAAGGGTTTTATGAAGAACCAGGGGAAAAAAGAGCCCTGGTCCCTGTGTCTGTGCAGAGAGCACTGGGGGAGCTGGGGCCTGGGCTAGGGTCGGCTCTGGGGGAGCGTGAGGTGGCCAAGGAGGGTTAAATTTAAGGGCCACAATGAGGGAAACTGCAAGTTCTTTGGTCCTTCAGGATAAGCTTTAAAACAGAGAAACACTGTTTTACTCAAAACGGAGAAAAAAAAACAACAAAAAAACGCTTTCTCTGGCTTGGAATTTTCTTTGTACCTCTCTGGCTAAGCACTATCTCCCCACGGAAAGTGGGGAATATTATTTGTTCCCCTCTCTGCCGCCGCAGAGCTGCATCACTGCCCAAAATCCCAGTGGGACAGAGGGACAGAGCAGGGGATGAGTTTAATCCTTGGAGAAGGTGGAGGAGCCCCCCGGGAAGCAGAGGGAAACCCACAGCCAGACACTGCGGACAAAAACGGGGCGGCCAAGGACAGCGGCGGCCTCAACAGCCCCCCAGAGAGGCGGGAGAGCAGATAAACCACAACACTGATGGGAAAACAAGAGGAAAAAAAGAAAAAAAGTGTTACAAAGCAAGAGCCAAACAGGCTGATGAGCTCCGGTTCTTATAAATATTATAGACCTGATTCAAGAGTTTATTTCCTATGATTTAAGTTAGTTACAAAAAGGTTTTAGTAAATCTTCATTGGGTTTTGCACTCTCTCTCCTTTTTTTTCTTTTTCTGTCTTTTTCTTTCTTGTTTCGTTTCTAAAAAAAGAGAAATGTTCACATATTTTAATAAAAGGTCTTTCCTTAAAATCAGACCAAGGCAGGTTGCTGCCCCATGGCACAGACATTCAAAGGCTATAATCAAACAACATAGCCACAATAGTCACCCAACACTGTCTCTCCATTAAAAAAAAAAA